CTTTATACTCTGTTGCCGGTGATTGATCCCTTCTCCGTCCCCCTAAAAACCGTATGATCCCAGCTAAAATCCAGTCTCCCCCGCCCTCAGGTGATAAATAATTAATGATACCTAGGTGGTTCATTAATAATCGCCTCCATTTGCCGCGAAAATGTGCTTGGATATTTAGCCACAGACATTATCTGTATTATGTAATGAAAATCTGATATTTTTTCGGTCACTACAGTTTCAGTTCTGTTTTTAATCGTTGTCTAGTGACCTTGAGGGTTGACTAACTTTGACCGTGCAAGTGCTTGCCATGAGACCAATGTAGGTATCATATTGGTATATAGGATGTACTTAAACGAGGAATGGGGAATGGGGAATGGGGAATGGAGAATGGAGAATGGAGAATGGAGAATGGAGAATGGAGAATGGGGAATGGGGAATGGGGAATGGGGAATGGAGAATGGAGAATGGAGAATGGGGAATGGAGAATGGAGAATGGGGAATGGGGAATGGGGAATGGAGAATGGAGAATGGAGAATGGAGAATGGAGAATGGAGAATGGAGAATGGAGAATGGAGAATGGAGAATGGAGAATGGAGAATGGAGAATGGAGAATGGAGAATGGGGAATGGGGAATGGGGAATGGGGAATGGAGAATGGGGAATGGGGAATGGGGAATGGGGAATGGAGAATGGAGAATGGAGAATGGGGAATGGAAAACGTGGAATGGAAAATGGGAAAATATTTTTTTAGATTAAATGTTTATAATTGGGAATGTATATTTTCAGTGATGATTATAGATAACTACGGCATTTTTAAACGTTATATGGCTAAATAAAAGGAATTGAAAGTAATTAACGATCATGAAAGAAGGTAACTCGACTTGTTTCGTCATTTTAGTATCTGAACATAGGCAAGTAACTAGTTATTTCACAGATATTCAGAAGCTCAGGAGTTGGTTGAATCACATGCAATCAATATTTATACAAATTACCTCTTGAGACATCTGGTATGAACATTTAGCTATAACCTAAGTGGCCATTAAAATGTAAGATAACTTCCTCATATAAAACCAATATATTGCAATTTTAGATATAGTTTATTTTTGACTAGTTTTAAGTAATGCATGTGAACCGTTTGTATTGGCCTCAGTAAAGAAGCTCCTCTTTACAAATATGTGATAACACAAATTCGCACGCTATGATCTGCATGACGAGGGTTCGTCATACCATGCTATAGTCAGCCCTCGGGAGGTGATTATAAAACTAAATTTTAGGATCGGAGAGCGATATTTTTTCGCTGGAAAATAGACGAACAATATGAAGAAAAAGATGTTATTAGTTATTTAATATAGCCCGAGTAATTGGTTTTAGGAGATGTTTAAAAGCACCTCTTACCACGACTGTGGAAGCTGTCTTCTGTTTCTTTTTATTTGGTGTGGTTTTGGTATCTTTTTTTGGCGGCTTTTTTGAATTAGCCTGCTTCCCCTTTGGATTGATAGGTGGGGCATTTGCTCTCGTCTTTCCAGTGTTTCTCTTACCAGACGGACCAGGTTCCAGACCAGGCCGCCCTGCCGCTCTTTGTCTAGTGGCTCTCCTATTTCTTTGAATCAAAGGTTAAAAGAGAGCACGAGTCATTTAAAATATACTCCGAGAGCGCATCGTATTTTCGTCTGTTTTGCATGGCCTCAGAACAATGTCTCTAAGGCCTCAGGAACGAAAAAATTGAAAGCTAAAGAACAGTTTTATTGGTTGTCTTTCAACCAGACTCAAAGTAGTCACAACAGTCACTCAGAGCGAAAGAAAGATCACAAGAAGCCAATAAGAACTCAAGGTAAACGCATGCGCGCAACCCACAACATCGTAACGCGACCGCCAAGTTAAGCTGCAATAGTGAATTAAGGTTTTCATTCGATTGGTTATTAACGTGGCAGGAATTCGTTATCGATCACGCGGTGAAGTATTGAGCCGAACAAAACCAATCCCAGATTATCCTCTATACTTAGTGGAAATTAGCTATAGTACATAGCACTGTAAGTGCTTTTTCAGGTAAAATAGCCCTTCTCGTTCGATGTTTTGTTATTTCACAGTCATCAAACTTGCATGGACCGAAGCATTTTGTATGCCTTTGTTAAAGTAAAGAGATATCTTTGGCCCAGCCTTGGACTTGCGCATGAAAAATCTTTTCAAATGCATCTTCGCAAATGACAGAAAAGTTCGCATAATTTCATTTGTTATATTAAACAGTTTTTTTAACATTGAAAATTAAGAACTTACCTTGATAATCTTAACCTGAAAAACCAACACATGCTCTCGCAAACCTTTTACATTTTAAAAGGTAAGTGTCTTCATATTAATTTGAGTCGATTCATCAAATCATCGTAGCTTTTCTGACGCGCGTAAAGGTATGACGTCACAAAGACTGAAGATCATGCGCAAATTAGGTCACGTGATAACCACATCCCTGTTTATTGGCTCATCTCGTAAAACATTCGTCTCGTGTCTCGACGAGGGCTTATTCTTCAAAATTCGAGGCTACGCAGGAAAAACATCATCGTGGCCCTCGAAAGTTGTGAGAGTTTCTTGTGGGAAGTCAACGCAAAATTATAACAGCACAACCAACGGAAAATACCGATACTGATAAAGTCCGTGTTGAATCCGCTTTGGCCAATCGGCAAACCTGTGGATTTCAGTGGTGAGGTTCTCAGGTTAATTCAGGTTAAAGGTTCGGCTGAATTGAAGATGGCCTACAACGTGGTTTTGTTGGACAACGGCTAAATTTTGTTCAAATAACCGCCCCCGAACGTTCTTCTCAGCGAACTTAATGTCTTCCTTGGGCCTACTGGGATTACTAAACCGTGGATTGCAGATTGGTAATTGAGTACTTATAAATTACAACACCGCCAGTGATTTGAAAATGTAATGGAACAAATCCTTTATTAATTGTTGTCTGTGTATATCTATCTGTAATAATTTTCCCCCAAAAAAGGCGTTTGAATACCCTTGACTGATCAAGACTTAAATAAGTTGAAAAAAATTCCGAGACAGTTACATTATCAAGGGTGTTCCAAGGTCAATGCCTTCCGATCACTTTCTCAATTTTCCTCAAGCCAACTTTCACCGTCATTTTTAACATTATATTCCAAATTTATCTATTACTACTGCTTTTTGCAAGTATTTCTAGCTTCGATATCCTCCTGTGACGTGTTGGAAATACTTTCAAAAACTACACAGAAAGAAAACCAACGTCGACACATGGGCAACAAAATGCTGCGAGTCGAGATATACAGAAAGGCAAAAGATAATTCCCTCAATTTTCCCTGTTCTAAACATTCCCCTTGCAAAGCATCAGCTGATTCAATTTGTCTACTAAATTTCACAATCAACAGCGGCAACGCTTAACTCACGCCTTATTTATAATCATAACACTGTAATCATTTATAAATATTATTATCAGCTTTCAACTGGTTTAGGTGAAGTGTTCGTGATCGCCCGGAAAGCCCTTGTCAAGCTTCGTATTTACCGAAGTTGATCAATACTATTTCACTCGTGAAGCGAAATGATATTGATTAACTTTTTATTCATTCGCGAAAATGTCACCCAATTAATTCTTTCGTAATGATAAAGTTTACACTTGGGTTGAACTATTAACCATTAATAAGGAAAACAATATTATAATAGCAATGATGACGGCAACAAAAACAAAGCCCTTACCAGCTTCTAAATTAACCCCCCCCCTCACAATTACCTCCCTCCCTCCCAAAAATCCTTAATTTGGAGCAAATCCATTGACTTTCTAATATTCATTTTGTAAACTTCACTAAACGTTTGTTACCTCGAAATAAATAGTCAAAAATCTAAAGCCATAGTCATACCATTTCAACAATACGAAAATTCACACCAGTAACTCCAACTACACCAAAGGCAACGATGACGTCATACATATCTTTTACATCACCACGCATGCTCGTGACCGCACTGACCGCAGTCTATGTTCTTGAAAAAACAGGGCCTGTCGGAACTTTACAGTGTCAACTTGTGGCACGTTTTGTACCTTTCTTTTTTTATAGGGGCCGAAAGAAACAATGAATTAAAATGGTACAAAAGCACCAAAGGAAGCTGTATGATCTACAAAAGCACCATCATAGTTAACAAAGAGAAAGGTTAAAACGGACCGCGAGAGACAAGGTTGGAATAGTTTTAAAACCTTTCTTAAAAGAGTGCACCGAATAAGGCGTCGACCTGGCCGTCTTGCGTTGCCAATGCTGCAATCGAATTCTGAACTAAATTTTCTGCTTTCATCTTAGAAAACATGATGTGGTACAAAAATAAAAGGACATCTGTACACAATGATGTTGTTATTTGAAGCTAAATGCGAACAGGAAAGGACCTGATAATGATCTGAGCTACATGATCCAGGCTAACAATTTTAGGATTAGAGCAATTCACCTGCGACACAAATGGAGAAAATTTACTTATCAATGCAAATTTTCTTCTAAAATAAATAGTGATTCGGTTTCTATTTTCCTTCTTTCTTTCCACTTCTTTTTTCTTTAGGAAGCACAAAGCAGTTTCAATCATTGTCATTATCTGATCAACTCCGCACCTACCCCTCCCCTAACCCAATATTGACCGTAACTCGTTATCAGTTGACTGGGTTAGGGAGGGGTTGGCGCGCAGCTGCTTTGATACTGAAATGGATTCGACAATTTTGTAGAATTCTAGAAAACTGAAAAAAAAAAAAATTTGAAAGAACACCAGATTAGTCGAATCAAATATACCATAAAAGGCTTTTTAAGTCCTACAAATGTGGTAAAAATTTGAAGAAATAGTTCTTTCACCCAGTTACATTTTTCAGTCAAGGAGCTTGAGCATCGAAGTTGACAGCCTACAGCGTTGCGTGACACTCTTCTTCGCGGGTGATACGTCACGCAAAATCATTCGACTTATACATCACGCGGGTCTGTTTCCAATTAAACCTCACGAAAGACTTATCTAAATGATTTTGCACCTTGCGCGGATTACACTAAGTGCAAGGCATAAAAACCTAACAATGTATCTTAATCTCTACCGTTTGGAAAAAAATGTTCGTAAAGGCCGAGCAATTTTAATTTTGATAGGACCTAAGGAAGGGAAATTTAAAAGATGTCTGGACACGTTTTCCAATCTCTATTCCAGTACGTTCCGGTGAATATCCAGTCCATCTGTTCTGTGTATGGATTTATGTCTTCTTTGAACCACCTAGACAAGAAAACAGGGTTAAGCTATTAAGAAAGATGCCAGTTATTTACCAGTGAGTAAACGTTCATGGCTCTGTGATCAGATGCTAGAATACGCATATTAGAATATACAAGAATAAAATAGCGGTCGAGCATACGCAAGGGGATTACTGTCCGCCTGCTGCACGCCAATTTAATAGAAACATAGGCAAAAACACCGCCGTCACGCTAAATATGCGATAAAAAAAAAATGAACCGAATCTGTGAAAGAAACCAAAAGTGGGGGAGAGGACACTGGAAACTTTTCGAACACAAAGCTTATTTAATACAAAACATCCTGTTAATTTCCCATTGTGTTTTGAGCTTTATCGAAAAAGGTATACGGTTTTAAAAACCTTGACTTGCTGGTTTCTGTGGTTATGACATGATTTAAATAAAATGCAAAAAAAAGTTATGCTTACCTGGGAATCCAACGCTCATGTTTTTGTCTTTCTTTCCTCGCTGTCCTTTGCTTTTCCTCCAGTCGTATTTTTTCCATAGTAGCTGTATCTATAAAGAATGATAAAAAAAAACATACAAAAATGTTATCAATGAAAACTTTCGTCTATCTGTCCGTCACAGGTATTCATTTAATTATTCATTCAATTCAATTATTTAACCGATTCAGTCAGACTGTCAGTGAGAGACAGACAGTCAATCTTTCAGTCAGTCAGTCAGTCAGTCAGTCAGCCAAACAGATAGCCTGTCAAACTGAAAGCCAGACTCAATAAATAGCTACTAGTAGCTATTTAGTGTCTGGAATTCAATCAATTACACAGACGCCGGTAAGTTAGCCAGCAAGTCAGCCAGTCAGTCGGTCAGTGGGTTAGTATGTCAGCAATTCATTAAGTCAGTCAGTCAGTATGCCAATTAATGAGGCAATAAGTCAATCAGCTTAATCAGTCAGTTAGTCAGTCAGTTGGTCAGTCCATCACTCAGTCAGTTAGTCGTTCAGTCCATTCGTCTGTCTGTCCATCCACCAACCACTCCGTAACGTTGGTCAATCTTTCTCACAATCGTACATTTTAACTAAACTTACCTAAATCACCGTTTTCTAACGCCCGACAGTCAGGTCTGAGCCTTGAATCTGTCGGTGGTAACTAAAGAAAAAAAATGTTATTAATAAAAAATGCATTCCTGCTCTTATACTTCACAAATAAAACAAAATCTGCAAAAACTGTCGTCAAAGAAACCTGTTCAGGTCTTTCGAAGACAAGAAGTAACAAACAAGTTGATAATTGTTCCATACCGTGGCTTTATCTTCTTCATGGAGTTCATTTAACTGCATTGCGTATGTCGTGAAATTGTACATCTGTTCAAAATGAAAAGGATAATGACATGGAATATATGTAAAGCACACAATGTGTCCCTAGTTTCCAGTCCATGGGCATAAGTACTTCAATCCTCAAGCGTAATTATTATATGTAAAGCACACAATGTGTCCCTAGTTTCCAGTCCATGGGCATAAGTACTTCAATCCTCAAGCGTAATTATTATTAGCGATCGATGATTCGAAAAGCTGAATAGTTTGCAACTAAAGCGGAGACCAGCGAATAGCTAATGTCAGCGTTGGCTTTTCAAAGGACTGTATTTAAACCTTCCCGGGGAAAAGTTTGTTCCCCGTCATAGGTATTTACGCTGCGCCATAGCGCGCATTGATTAAGTGCCGTTAAACCGACAAAAAAAAAGATCTTTAAGGCCAAAATTAAAACTTGTGAATATGAAAGTGATCTTCGCGGTAATAAACACTACTTGAGCAGTAGAAAAAATAAGGCCTGAAAAAATTCAGGCCTGTACGGGATTTGAACCCATGACCTTTGCGATACCGGTACAGTGCTCTACCAACTGAGCTACCAAGCCAACTGGTAGCTGGTCAGACCTGAAATTTTTTCAGGTCCTCGTTTCACTACTGCTCAACTAGTGTTCATTACTGCGGAGATCGCTTTCATATTGACGTCTTTATCCGCAATTCACGTATATGATTTTCATGTAATCACAATCAAAAGTAAAACTGCTTGATTGAATTTATGCGCATGACCAACACAAGAGAACAACTCGCCGCAGAACACACGGAGCGGTTTGTCGCAGATATCAGCCACAGGGATGGAAGCCTGTTCGTTTCCAATCCTTACCTGTTTACTATTAGGAGGTCGCTCTTGAAATCTCCAGAGGGTCTTGGGTACCGAGGTGTCCACGCTGACGCTTCCACCGCTACTACCGCTACTGAAACTCTCTAGAGAAGTGGCGGATGCAAAGCTGTTTTCGCTGCCATCTGACCGCCGTCTCTTGCTTTCTCGTTTAGATTCCTTCCTAGTGATTTTGTCCACAGTGAAGCACTGGATGCAATCCGTCCAGTCTCCACGCAGAATGAACCGCTTTCTCTTGCTGCGAATTGAAGGAGTTTGAGTCAAGCGCAATAAACTAAATTATTCCGCAGGCTAAGAAATGTTTACTGCCGGAGCTTACCCTAATGCCAATTACATGAATGTCTAGGAGCACTGTTATCCCCCCCCCCTTTCAATCTATCGAGTTTCTCTGACAGTTCACTAAAACGCATTTATAAAGTTTCTTGCCTGAGAAAACATCTCAATCATCTAGTCAGCGGTCGAGAGAGGGTCTACCCACCCAGAATTCCGCGCGCCACCCAAAGGGTTACTGGACCTCCAGCTTAAAACTTGAGAAAAAAACGTGATACTTTGGATACAAGATAGTGATTCTACAAAAGAATAATATCGATAATTTAACGTTTTTTTTACAAACAGTGCTCAATAACTTGTTAATTTTCCTTTGAATTTCAAATTAATGAAAATCATCCTCATTCTGATTGCAGAGAGCAGAAATAGAAAGCATTAACTGTCAGAAGACATCCCTACTTCCGACAAGAAGGAGATTTGAGCTTGAAACAGGGAGAATACTTCTCTAAAGTGTCAGAGTGAAAAGGAAACTTACTCAGCGGAGAAAATGGAACCTTCCACCTTGTTGAGTTCTTTACCAAACCATCCGCCAGGTTTAAAATGTATCAAGCTGTAGTCTCCTGTGGTGTGGTTGGTAATTTCTATTTGACCGAACTGAGAGGAAAAACAATAACTTTTAGGAAACATTTTACTTCGATGAAGCACGGCCATGTGTATTAACCCTTTTTAGCCCACCAATTGATCAGTGACAGTAAATCATATTTTGACAAATCAGCAAACAAAATGTCACATAATTAACCAATTATATGACACCATGGTGAGTTGCGAGAAATCCACCTATCAGCAACCACTTTACCGACACACGTCGGCCACGTCAGCGAGTAATTTTTGTCGGGAAAAATCTCGACGTGTTATATAAAGAGCAAAACAGCATTTACCGCACATTGGATAAGAAAACAAACAAGCTAACAAAAGATAACAACTAACTTGTTCAATCCAAAGCTGTCCCACAATGATATTGTGAACACAACTATTGACGTTATTCCACGTGTAAACTTCATTGCGTCTTGGGAAAACAATACAAAATTATAGTGATAAGAGATACCATTTTAGAAATCAAATAAAAGGAAAATTACCTCATGAGGGGAGGAGGGTGGGGCATCAGTATGTAAGGTATTAGTGCCAGACTATAATAATAAGGTTGTTAACAATTAACTGTTATCAACTTACTTTGGAAACTTGAGTGTGACCATGCCTTTCGGTTGAATTTCAACCCCTTTTCCCCAGAACTTGAGCTTGGGTTGAACTGTGACATGGAACACGAAGTCTTCACTTTCAACTTGCACTGCACTAACAGGAGGGTGATGACTAACCTGTGAAAATTAACCACAAAGAAAGCAGTTCTTGACTACGCCGTTGTTTTTGTGCGCAAGACGGAAGAGCGATCACATGGGTTTTAGCGCGTGATCACGACTGAGTCATGCGTGATTACGCTGGTCTATGGTTTTAGAGCGAAGTGCTTCGCAGCATTCTCCGCGCTTTCTGCTTCCTCGTTTGCCATGTATTTTCAACAAGGAAAGATGTGTTATAGTTTTCACTATTGCACTGTTATGCACTTTTGAAACCAAACAAAAGCCTGCTTTTCAATTCCCTATTAACTCTCACCTGTTCAGCAACAAGTTTGAAACCCATGTCTTCTCTGTAAAAGAATAAAAAAAATTGTCATGAGAAATAACTCCGAACCAACAGAATAGATCGCAAAACATCTCATAATCCTTACCGGACCAGTTCATAAGTTTCTCCAAGGAGTGGGTTAAAAGGTTTTCCTACTCTGTCTAAATTCGATGCAGTGGCTGATATTGCAAACGCGCAAACAAACTGTTGAAAAACGAAATAAGGAATATGATATCAACGCAAGAAGGTCGAAGAGGATACCCGTACTAGAAATAGTTGACTTAAAAACTGCAGAGGAAAGAATTCTAATGATAAAGTAGTCGCAGGACCTGAACAAAGCAACAACAACAACAACAACAATAACCACAATTCAATCTAGAACGAGATTCAAATCCAAGACCACGTTAGGACCGAGCCATAACCGGTGTAAAAATCGCCTCTCAGATCATCACCTAACTCTACATGACAACTCCTTCTGTCACGCAATCATCTAACCCTTCACATGTTTTACCTGCATTCTCAACAGCGGATCGTCTAAACTTGAGGCCGTGTGAAGGAGGTTTACATATTCCATGTACTCTGCCACACGCTGCAGAAACGTCAGCGGCTCATTGAAAATTACTAAAACGTGACAAAGTAATGAGGTAAATGTCCGTCACGTGACAAAGCCTACTGTTTAGTAGGCTCGTTCGGATTTTAAGTGATTTTTTCCACATGGCTCTAATTGAATAGCTTCATAAGAAACGTTTGCTCTCCATCACTTCTATTTTCTCAATTTAACTGGACTAAAGAGGCTAGTGGAGACGTAGAATTGTTAATTGGAATAGTAGAACTGAACTCCAATGTACACCATTTGAAAAATGAAATGAGCTCATAGTAGCTACCCGATCTTTGTTTCATAAAAAAACTGCTAACCACAAACTAAGGTTTGTGATTTCTTCTTTCTGATTTGAACAAATACTGATTAAATATTTAAAAGGACTATTGCAAACGAACCTGGCATTGTAATTCTTGACAAATCCTGCAAGAATAACGAGGAAGATGTTAGGTGTTGTATGTGTTCAG